CCACCACCCTCCCAGTCCAAGGTTTTGGTAGGTATTAAATGTTTAACAAATGGCACCAATCAGACCAGTTTCCAAACACGTATAAATTGTCTCTTGGGTGATTTTAACGGGCGCATTTTATGACATGGTTCACCTGCAAGTTTCATTTAATTTTATGACTACCTGTTATTTTTTAAATCTCATTATAAATATTTATAACACCTTGCATATTTGTGATGCCTTCACATAATTACTTTAATAAATATTAATTAAGTCCTTTCTCACTATCAAATAAATAGTATTATTCTACATTATTGATAAGTCAAGAGACAGACACACTGAAAGCATCATTAACATGGGCTAAAACTTAACTCTTACATGGTTTTTAACAGGCACTGGGGAAACATTAGCAAAAGAGGTCCTGGGGGGTTTTAAGAAAAAACGCTTATCCACCTTTTCCTCACTAAGGCTCACCCATGATACCATCCTTTACATCCTCAACTTAGACCCATTTTTCTGGCAACAATGGTATCACTGTCCTTCTGTAACATGTTTCTCTAACCTGTGAGCTACATGAAAGAACAGTAGAAGATACATTTAGAAGATACTAAATACATTTCTATAAATCTAACAGCTTCCTTGAATTAGTCACTGGAAGGTGGTTCATACTATCTGGCAAATATTTTTCACAAAGAGGCACCTGATTCAACAAAGTAAGACATCGCCCCCTCCCCCTTTTTTTAAACCACAGGACTACACTGACTCAGGTTGTGAGAGTCCAATGAAGTTCTTAAATTACTTTCTGTATTGAAGCAGAATGGGGAGATTATGAAACTCCATTAGAAAAGCTCTGCTTTTTTAACTTTAAAAATACAAGATACAAGAAATGGACGGATGCTCTTATCTACAGAGACATATGCATGTGAACATTTACTTCCCGGACCCAGAGAGCTCACCTTCCACTTCTTCTTCGTCACACACATGCTTAAGGAAGGAAGCCCCTCTGTCCAGGACAGCTTCATCTTCCATCCTATAGTAATAAAAAAGAAAAAAAGAGTGCTCAGACTTCTCCTGGAGTGAGCCACCTGAAGCAGCCCAGCTTCTGGGCAGGTTGACCTGCAGGCTGTTGTTCATGTTAACGGGGCACAGTCACTCTTCACTCATCCGGTGGCTGCTATTTCTTCACGCAGCTCCTCTCCTCTGGTGGTAGAGAGTCCGCGGTCCCCACATGGCTCCAGCTCTAACCTTGAGAGGGCACCCACATGGACAGGTGAGAGACAAGCATCTCAATCCCGCAGGCTGGATGTTGGGGGGGTTCCTCCCCTTTCGGGATTTGCATAAAAAAAAGAAAGAAAAAAATACCAAGAGAAGAAGTTTGCTATGTCTGGAGTGCTCGTGAGGATGGCTTGTGGAAATCCAGCTTCAGCGCTTAGCTCTTTAAACAGCCACTGCATAAAAATGTATACCCTCTCACACACGCATGCACACCCACCCACACGCAGCGACGGGAGCTAGGCTGGTGCACAGTGGGAGCCTAGCTTGCAGCCAGCCTCCTAATATCAGCACAGCCCAGGATTCTGTCAAGTGGCAAGCTCTGAGTCACATGCTGGCCTCACGGAAATCTGACATGGGAGGATTACCCAGCGACTCGGCGTCGGCTACGGTCACATATACATGCCGCCCATTCATTCACTTTCCCCATTCCCATCGCACGTCTCTCCGTGTACATCTGTCCTGTTAACTCTTCCCTGAAGGGCCGAGTTCTCCGTTCTGGGGCCACATTACGCTGCCTCCTGTCTCCTTACACAGTGGGATCTCCTCGGCAACTTCCTACGCTAAGCTAGACCTCGGGATCCGTCCAGGGAGCGACAGACAGCGTTTCCACGGCCTCCCGATGCCAAGCGTGTTTCTAGTTTGTGGAAGGAGCTACGGTTTATTTCCTTGCTCTGTGGCTCATTTTCGTTGCCTTACCTTTGACATACAGAGTTCTATGGACTCTATTTATAGTGAAAGCAGAAAGAAATCTGCAACTGCTCAAATGCTGCTTGTGTCGTACGGGTCTAGGAACAAAGAGCTTGGGGACAGCTGCTCTATGTCACACGCACACGAGCTCTGCAGAGCCCCGTGCTGCTCTGCAACCGATTCGCCGCCTGCGCTCAGGCACCGAGGCTGCAGGTCTGTTTCCAGCCTGTCTGCACAGCTCATTCCTGCGCTTCAGGCGTTTGTTACGATGTATGTGGCTACACTGAATCCACGTTTCCCTCCTTTCTATTTTAGGAGCACAGCCATCTCACAAAGCAACCACTTCAGTACACAGTGTCAGAAGCTTGGTGTCAGGTGGACCTGGGTTTCAAAAACCCAGTTCGACCACTTCGTATTTGTATCACCTGGAGCGAAGTCTTAGCGTTTTGAGCATCAGTGTTTCCATCTACAAAATTGGGGTAATGACATGGACCTTAAAGGACTGCTTTGAGATTCAAATTAGGTAACAAATGTGCAAGTACTGTTTTGTACCTAGCACCTAGTACATGTTTTATTGTGTGTGCTTTTTAAAATTTATTTTATTGTTGAAAGTATTACAGATGTCCCCCATTTTCTTTCCTTTACCCCCCTCCCCCCATCTCTCACCCCTCCCCAGTTCTTCCCCTGTCTATTGTCTGTGTCCATGGGCTATGCATATATGCACATCTGCTCTTTGGTTAAGCTCTTCCCACCCTCCTTCCTGCCTTCCCTCTGAGATCCATCAGTCTGTTTCATGCTTTCATGGTTGTGGTCCTATCTTGTTTGTCAATCTGTTCTGTTCCTTGGATTCCTCATATGAATGAGATCATGTGGTACTTGTCTTTCTCTGCCTGGCTTATTTCACTTAGCATAATATTCTCCAGGTCCACCCATCCTGTCCCTTCTTCTCTACAGCTGCATAGTATTCCATGGTGTAAATGTATCATAGCCTTTTTATCCGCTCATCTGCCGGTGGGCGCTTGGGCTGTTTCCAGATCTTAGCTATTGTAAATTGTGCTGCTGTGAACACAGGGGTGCATATATTCTTTCTGATTGGTGTTTTGGGCTTCTTAGGATACATTCCTAGAAGTGGGATCACTGGGTCAAATGGCAATTCAATTTTTAATTTTTTAAGGAGCCTCCATACTGTTTTCCATAGTGGCTGCACCAGTCTGCATTCCCACCAGCAGTGTACCTAGCACATGTTTGATAAAGGTAAGTCTCCTTCCTTTCTTCTTTCCGTACTCTTTTTTTAACCTAATGTTTTTTGGTGGACAGTGCCATTAAGAAAATCATTACCTTTGGACACTTGCAGAATATTTTCTTCCAGGGATATGGGACATGTATGCAATAATTCATCCTGATATATATCTATTTCCTTCTCTGTACTAAAACTAAAAATATAAAACTAAATGCAAATAGGATATGGATCAGCCATCAGGATTATAGTAGAAAAAACAATGCCTGGAAGACATGAGAAGCCAAGTCTTTAGCCAGCCCTCTCTGAGTCTTTCCCATGAAGAATGAATGATACACTGATTTACTGACTCAGCAATGGCTATGTTCTGGCACTCTTCAGAGGGAGGGGAGTACATCTGGGAATAAGACAATTCCTGAGAAATGTAATAATAGATAGATAAACAAGGGAATCTTAGATAGAATTAAGTACTTTGAAGGAAATAAAATGAGGCAGGCAGAGGTGGGGGGTACCTGGCATAAGGTGGGTTAATGAGGCTTCTGAGAGGTGACATCTGAGTAGAGAGAAAAATGATACAAAGGAATCAGGCATATGAAGACCTGGGGGCAAAGCGCTCTGCACAAAGGGAACAGTAAGTACAAGGTCCCTAAGGTGGGAACAAGTTTAGCACATTCCAGGAACAGAAATGAGGCCCTTGAGCCTGGACAGAGAGGCAGGGGGTCAAGAGCAGTGCTACCATTGGGAATCAGGGCCCTGCAGGCCGTGGTGGGCAGGCAGAATTGTAGACATTCTGGGAGCCACTGAAGAGTTTTGTTTTGTTCTGGTCTATTGAAGTATAACTGGCAAATAGCATGTTATTAGTTTCAGATGTACGACAGGATGATTTGATATTTGTATATACTATAGCCCCTCCTTATCTAGAGGAATATGTTCCAAGATCTCCAATGGATGCCTAAAACCACTGATATTACTAAACCCTATATACATGATGTTTTTTCCTAGACATACACACCTATGACAAAGCTTAATTTATAAATTAGGCCATTTCACAGACAGAAGATTCATTCTTACTGCAGTTCTTAGCAACCTCAGCATATTATATTTTTTATTTCCTCATTAAGCCAAGAACTTACACTTTTTCACTTAAAGGAAGCACTGTAAGGCTTCTCTTTGACCTATCTGAATTGCCAGCATCACTCCTCTTGTGCTTTGGGGCCATTATTAAGTAAAATAAGGGCTACTTGAACACAAACACTGTGATATTGTGCCAGTCTATCTGAGCTACTAAATAACTCATGGGTGGAGAGCGTGGACAGGCTGGACAGAGGGAAGATTCACATCCCGGGTGCGACAGAGCAAGATAGCACGAGATCTGATGATACTACTCAAAACAGTGCACAATTTGAAACTTATCAATAGTAGATTTCTGGGACTTTTCATTTAATATTTTCAAACCCCAGTTGACTATGGGTAACTGAAACTGTGGAAAACAAAACCCTGGACAAGGGGGGACTACAGTATTGTGAAATGATCTCCCCAATACGTCTAGCTATCATATATATAGCTGTAAAATCTATTTTTCTTGTGATAAGAACTTTTAAGATCTTCTCTTTTGGCAACTTTCAAATATGCAGAACAGTGTTATTAACTGTAGTTAAGAGTTTTTAAGATGGAGCTGTTCTACCTTTTTAAAGGATCACTCTGGCTACTTGTGAAATATAGATCATCAGCAGACCAAAGAAACTAGGAAACTACCTCAGGAGTCCAGGGAAGGCTGTGGGAGAAACAGGTTTTGGGGAAGGAATGAAGAGTTCTTTTCTGGTCACTTTATGGTTGAGATGCTTATTATATATGAAAAAGGAACTATCCAATACACAATTAGATGTCTAAACCTGGAGCTCAGGAGCCTGGGGCTGGAGATAAAAACTGGAAAATCAATGAATAAAGCTGGTCTCTGAAGCTATGGCTGGATGAGATCATCCAGGAAGAAAATGCAGAAATAGAGGCGTAGACCTAAGACCAAGTGCCGGGCATGCCAACATTTACAAGCAGAGCAGAGGAACAAAAGTGGTCGGTGAGGTAAGAGGAAAACCCGGAAAGAGTGATGTCAAGAAGCTGAGAGGAGAGGGGAGCATGCGACTAGGAGGCTGAGAAAGGTGGAGACAGAGAAGAGAAAATGGGATTGGGCGCTACGGAGGTGGTTGGTGATGACAGTCAAAGCGCTTGAACAAACCGCACACAGGGCAGACACACGGACAGCATCCACTCACTCCCTTCTCTTTCCTGCCCTCCTCCATTCGTTTTTCAGTAAATATTTACTGAGTACTTACTCAGTGCCAGGCACACGGCTAGGCACTGGAGATGCAACAACGAGCCGAGACAGACAAGGGCCCCGGTGTAATCCCACCTGGCTTCTCGAAGACTCCCCTAGCCATCCAGGGCAGCAGGTCCAGAGGCAAAGCCCCGCCAGTAGCACAGTGCCTGAAGACATGGACAAGGGTGACAGCTTAACGGGGAAATTTTCTTTAAAAGACCTCGGAAGTACAATAAAATCCTGGAGCCTTGTACTGCTTACTGCATGGACACTAACAGAGCTGCTTCCCCTTTGGAAAACAAAGAGGTTGGCCCACAGTTCTCAGAACTAACCCTTTCCAGTCCTATCAACCGACAGAATCCAATACAATTTTCTATAGAACATCATTTCTGCACCCCACCATTAATAAAACTGATCCTGTTTACTTTTCACGCGTTCCCTAAATAAAATGTTGAGCCCTCTGCACTCAACCCTTCCCAAAACTGCATGCAACAAGCAAGCAAAGCAGAAATAAAAGAAGGAAACCAGTAACAACTGAAGGAGACACTGTAACAACTAGAACAACTGTAGACACGTTCATGCCCAGAGCCCTCTTCCAGGCTGACACCCTCCAGCCTCCCTGAAACACTGCTCCCGAGTCCGAGTTAGAGGGAGAATAATGATTGGTGCATTCCTTGGCTCTCTGATACATATTTCGCATTCCCTCCAAGACTATACATAGCAAGTAATTAGAAACCTAGTCCTTCCTGACGGACAATGTAGAGCGTCTGTGAGCAGCCTCCCCCCTGTAG